TGTGTGTGTGTGTGTTTGTGTGTGTGTGAAGAGTCCCAAGAGGCCAGTCCCCTTGCCTCCTCCACCTTCCCCCCACAACATAAAACCTTTGAAGTGTTTGCTTGCTGCTGATTAAGCAAGGAGGTGCTAAAAACCCCGTCCTGCCCCAGGCGCTTAAAGAAGCAAGTTGAGCTAAACTGGCTTGTTTAGCCAGTGAGCCAGTAAGCTCAGCCCTTCGCTCCAAATAAACAGAGGCTCTGGGTGGGGCTCTGCCCCACCTGCTTTGCTCACGGGGGGGGGGGGGGAGGAATCCGGCTGACAGTAGGTGAGAAGCGGCTGCTTGGTCTTCCGAGGCACCCAGCGCAGCCTCCGCGGGCTCCGGTGCTGCGGGCACACCAGGAAAGCAACGCGACAGGTTTGGTGGGCCCACGAGGGCCAAGGCGAGCGATGCACGCTCCCCAGAAATCCCTTCCCACCTTGGCACAGAAGGCGCGAATAACGTCCAGGATACAGGAAGTCCTCGGTTTACGGCCACAGCTGAGACCGTGGGTAAGCGAGGCGGTTGCGAACAAGGGTTGTGCTTAAGAAACGTTACATTTCTAAACTAGTATTGAATAAAAATGAACCAAAGTTACTAATTACTATCAAACTTAAAGTGTTGGCCACAATGGAAATTTAATGGCGATATGAACAATTCATATTATTATTACAAGTGTTGGTACAACTGTTGTTACAGAAGTTAAATCGATAGGAAGGCAATGTAGAAGAATGGTGGAGCTAAAAAGGGACTGCCGATACAGAAGGCTGTAAAACTATTTTATATTGTTATGTTTGTCTTGTTTTGTTGTTGTTGTGTTTCCCCCTCTGTTTTTAAAGGTAAAATGTTTAATAAAACTATTTGTTTAAAGAAGAGAAGCAGCATTGCAGGGGAGTTTGGTAGAGGCTGTTTTGAGCTAGGCTGAATCTTGTCGGACGGTTTTTATTTTTATTTTTGCTCCTTCCAAATTATCTCCGGAGATACAATTGAATTGCTCATGTTTCAAGCAGGCAAATTTGTTAAATTCTCTTTATCCAGTTGGGTTTTGTGGTCTGGGCTCCCGTAGGACCTCCTGCCACCCCAAAACTAGATTCAGGAGAACAGCTAAGAATCCGTTTTAAGAGCAGAAAAGGCAGAGAATCTTCTGGGACTTTCAAAACTTTTTTTTTTCCCCACAGAAGCTTCCGACATTCTCCATCCACTTCTTCTAGCGCGGAGGGTCTCTTCGGGTTTATTTATTCTTTTAAAGTAAGCTTTCGTCTCCTTCCTAGCTGGTAGGCCTACTTTGTGTTCATGGAAAGCCAACAAGGAAGAAGGGAATACTATCCCTTGGCAAACTTCCTTTCCCTGCCTAGAAGTTTGACCTTCTTCGCAGGCTGGTTAATGTTTGATGTTGTGATAGTACCAACACGTACCTTACTCCGAAACTCCTTCCTTGGCTCTAGTGGTCAGAGAAGAGCAAATGTTGACTGAACAGGACAACTGAGCCTGGGAAGGGCTCTGGTGGTCAGCTGGTGGCTGGAATAATCTGCATAACTTCATTGCATCGTCCAATGTTGTGGTTACTGGGGTTGAGCTCAAAGCTTCTGGCTGAGGAACTGCTCAACCAACCAATCAACCCACCCACCCATCAGCTGGAGTTGCTCCTCAGATCCTTGAATCTCTCTACCTTCCTCCCCTCCTCCTAGGAGTAGGGAGAGATGTATTTTTAGGCTCTCGTGTACTTGTACCACGGGGGTGAGTAAGCATGTGTCTTGCCCTGGAGTCTCCCAGAGGCTGAAAAGGGCATTAAGAGAGTGGAACCATAACAAAAGATTTGTGTGTCTGGAAAGCTCACGAGGGGGCCATTTGCCAGCCGGTTCTTTGGCTCGGAAAGAACCGAATCCATCAAACAGGTACCGGAACTTCTAAAAACTTCGGTTAATTGGCAAAGCCAAGGGATCAAGTCGTAAGTTAGGGGAGGGGTGTGTGTGGACATTTCAACAGGAAAGGTCTTCCTCTTTGCTTTCAAGGGTTGAAATGGTTAAGTTTTCTAGGCTCCTCATTGCGTTGAAGCCAAATTAAACGTTGGGAATTCAATTTTAAAAAAAGAAAAAGAACGTGGAGAGAATAAAAAGGATGTTTAGCCGAGATGGCAAACATGAACTGTTTTAATTGGAGAAAATCTATCTGCGTTTGTTTCTACCTGGAAATCACTTTGAAATTTGTGTGACATTAGGGAGATATAAAAAAATCTTGTCTCTAGGATCTGCTGATTAATACATTGGCACGGAAATACTAAGGTTGTAAAAGCAAAAAGTTGAGGCTGTAATTTCTTGTACTTTACTGCACTGAAAAGTTGGAAGCGAATGCTTTTTTCTTTCCTCCCCTTTATCCTACATTTCTTTCTTTTTCCTCTTTCTTTTTCTTTTCTTTCTTTCTTTCTCTATCTTTCTCTTCATTTATATATTATGATAATCTTAATTAAGGAACTATGAAGAGATTTGAGTAGTGGTGATGTCACCAGGTTAAATAAATGGCCCCTTATGCAGTCATGGGCTGCCCCATCTTTATAGTATGTATTCAGACAGAAGCTGGACTAGGATGTTTTAATTGTTTCCTGCCTTGAGTGGAGAATGGGGAGCCTTTTGTTTTTTAAATCCTAGGATGAATAAATGAATCTTAACCAAAGCATTTCTTAATTACAGATATGCTGTAATTGGCTCCTAACTGCTTGATCTGTTCATCACTCTTACGCTGTAGGGAAATGGGCACCCTTTTTAATTAAAAAAAAGTTTGCCTTTGCCCCTTTATTAAAAATGTAATTATTTTTAATAGAAGCCCTTAAAATGGGGCAGGTGACTTAAAATAGTAGAAGCACTAGTGCGTCTCTTCAGAAAGAAGTTTGCCATCCTTGCAACAAGAGGAAGAAAATTAGGTTGCGGTTTTCCAAGGGAATATCATAGCGTAATGTCCTTTTCTTTTCAAAAGACTTTTGTTTTAGTCACACGAAACTTTCCAGATTTATAGTGCAAGTCACTAGATGGGGAAACATCATAATGGTGCAACTTTTTCTAGATTCTGTGCAAGATGGCAGCCTTAAAGCTCAAAGGATCCAATTGCTTTGCTTACAGAATCGCTACAAAAAGCCATTCTATTCTAATGCTTCCCTAAAGTGAATGGTAGGGGCAGTTGACAATGGGAAAATTAGGACTGTTTGTTAGGGGGAGAAGGAATGACACCTTGGGGCTGTCTTTGGGCTGAAAAAAGCAGATGCCGTGGTCACCCTAATAAGCCTCTTGCGAAAAGATTTATTCAGATTTACAGAATGGAGGCTGATGTCATTTGGCCAGCTAAAATAGGGGGCAGAATTTAGTGTGGCTTAACTAAGCAAAGATTAATAAAATGGAGCAGTTGGTCTTTATCCTTAGTTTCTCGTCTGTCGTAAAGTTATTTTTGTAATGAATGCCTTTCTTGTGGGGGAAAAAGAAATGCAGTGCATGTATATGTATGTCTTAATGCCTAGAATAGAAGGTGGGAGAGATATGGCTAGCTAACGTGACAACTCAGGGCTCTCTCTCCGAACACGCTCCCTAAAAATACGAGTATATTATTAGTTTGATGCTAGGAAAGAGAAGTCAGAATATCCCAGATGTACAAAACTCCACCCCCACTTAGTCCTGGAAGCTTGGACACATTCATTTTGCTTGCTTGGAGTTTGCAAACAAAAGCTTTGATTGGAGTTTGCAAACAAGGAGTTCCTGGCATTAAGAAGAGAAATGGGAGGTGCAGAATCGAAAAGACCTTTGTGCTTTTAATAACCATTGGTTTATCCCAGTGTTTCTCAACCTTGGCCACTTGAAGAATTCTGGGAGTTGAAGTCCGGACATCTTCAAGTGGCCAAGGTTGAGAAACACTGGTTTATCCTTTTGGGTTCTTTCAAGTAAAAAAAAAAAAGAAATTGTAGTTTCTATTCTGTCGAATAGAAACGAGGAAGAGGAGGTTTCCCTCCCCCCCCCGCCACCTTTTAACCTCAACAATTAGGAAATATAACAACGATTACTAAACTTTTGAGCAACACATGACTTTCTAATTTAAAATACAAGGTATACTGTTAATGTGACTGTCAAGCTCTCCAACCAGTGGTGGGATTCAAATTTTTTTTTTTTACTACTGGTTCTCCTGGCACGGCTTGTTGGGCGTGGCAGGGGAAGGATACTACAAAATCCCCATTCCCTCCCGATCTGCTGGGACTCAGAAGGCAGAGAATAGATGGGGGCGTGGCCAGCCAGAGGTGGTATTTACCGGTTCTCCAAACTACTCAAAATTTCCGCTACCGGTTCTCCAGAACCGGTCAGAACCTGCTGGATTCCACCTCCGTCTGCAAGGTTTTGGTATACCCTTGTCCATGGCTCTTTAAAGCAGCTGCATCATCGGCAACTACAGTAGGCTGCGTGTAAAATATCTGCTGTGTTTTGCTCAGAGTATTAAAAGTAGGCATTCAAAAAACCCTCTCCACAGTGAGAAAAACAGGAGTCTGTTCAAATAGGAGTGTTTCAGCTAAAGCAAATATAATCCTGCACTAGCTAATCAGATGGGCAAAGTATTCTAACAAGGCAAAGAGGTCCGATTCTTCAAATCTTTGCCAGACATGGGTTGGGGTTTTTTTGGATGATGGGATAATTTTAAGCTTCCAGCTGTTACTCCTGCAATCGTGAGGGCTATCCATTTCCGTAACTCAAAGCCAAGACATTTGCAATATGTAGGAGGAGGGTGACCGAAGTCACCTAGCATCTAGTTTGAGTAGGATTCCACTGGTTGGATGTGAATTGCAATTCTCCCTTGCTGGGGAAGTTTGCTTGTTGAATCTCTTTTGGACTGGCCTGCCCACATAGACTAGTAGGGGCTCAGTGGCTAAGACGTTGAGCTTGTCAATCAGAAAATTTCGGCAGTTCGAATCCCCGGCGCTGCTTAACGGAGTGAGGTCCCGTTATGTGTCCCAAGCTTCTGCCGACCTAGCAGTTCGAAAGCACGTGAAAAATGCAAGTAGAAAAATAGGAACCACCTTTGGTGGGAAGGGAACAGTGTTTCTGTGCGCCTTCGGCGTTGAGTCACGCCGGCCACATGACCACAGAGACGTCTTCGGACAGCGCTGGCTCTTTGGCTTTGAAACGGAGATAAGCACTGCCCCCTAGGGTCGGGAACAAATAGCAGGTATGTAGGAGGGGAACCTTTACGTTACCCCATAGGCTGGAACTCCTTGGAGAAGGGAGAGGACACCAGCAGGTGGAGACAAAAGAGATGAAAAAGAGGATGCAGGAGATGAGCAGGCTGGGTAAAACACGTCATCCGTTTGGCGTTCTTGCGCAGCTACAAGAGTTCATCTTCTGTTGTTGATCACCGTACGAGGATGTGATGAATAATCTGCTTCTCTTCAGCAGCCTCACCTTGATCTTTCCTCCCAACCAGGGCAAGTTTTCCCCGTGCAATGCTCCTCCCTAACACACTCACCTTTGCTCCCTCGTCTCCAGCAGATGATGAACACCACGATACACGCCAACCGGCCTTCTCCCGCCCCGGAAAAGCTCCTGACCTCCGGCATGGTGGCTACCTCGTTCCATTTATTCTCTCCGCCGATGGTCTCCAGCCATTTAACCGTGGAGGACAGTTCCCAGCTAAGGGCTGATCAGAACCACTCCCAGGAGACGCAGTCCCTCTTTTTGACCACCTCCACGGCAAAAGCCATCTCGGGACTCTTCGTCTGGACGGCCCTGATCCTTACTTTCCACCAGGTGGGTGGTAGCGCTGCCTGGGCCTGCGGGGGACTCCCATCTTTCCAGGTGGCTGTGTAAGATGGGAGAGGGGGGTAGTCCACATGTGCAAGGCATCAACTCGGGGAAAGGTTGTCAAAAACTATGGCTGTTGGATCAGGGTATGTAGAGTCTTGCTTCCTGTACCATCAGATAAGGCTATCGGAGTAGAAGTCCTCTGTAGCTTCTAGTGGCCACGGAGGACTTGGATCGTGGTCTTGTTTCTATGTTAAGACGCTTAATTTAATTTTGCTTAGAAAAGGAACGAGGAAAGTGTTTTCAGTTTGGAAAGAGTGCTCTGTCTTCTGTTGTTTTTGTGGCTTTTTATGTAGTCTTTTTTTTCTGGGGTAGTGGGTGGAGTGAGGGGACAACATCATATCCTACAAGGTTTTTGACTTATCAAGTGAGGCAGCTCGGCCTTCTGAGTTTCAGAGGGATTTCTCTCTGGAGATAAATCTTTATAGGCCTGCCAATATTAGCCTAGGACAGGGGTCGGCAACCTTAAACACTCAAAGAGCCATTTGGGCCCATTTCCCACAGAAAAAAAAAACACCGGGAGCCACAAAAACCTTCCTGTGCTGATTATTTCCTGAGCGGCCACAAAACTAGCACATGTAGTTGAATTACGCGTTCTGTTTTCTTCCGAAACTTTTGTCGTCTTGGATTTAACCATGGTTGGCCTTCCCGGTGGGGTTGAAAAGCTACATAAATCAGGTGCCAGCAGGTCTCCCACATTGGCGGTTGGGATGCATATTTTGAGCAATAGGGAGCTGCAGCAGAGCGGTGAAAAGAGCCACATGCGGCTCCAGAGCCGCAGGTTGCTGACCCCTGGCCTAGGATATTCGGTTTCTTTTCAATTCTGATTATTTTAAAGGAAAAATGATGGAAGTCGTGCCCATCACCCCCAACCCCACACCCCGGCAACATCTCACCCTCTTTTCATTGCTGGCTGCTTGTTCGCTTGTGGTTTCTACCCAGAGTGTGTCTCCTTTAGAAGGAGGAAGTTACACAACTCTCACTCTTAGTATTGCATCACCAACCATGCTGGCTGAAGCCTTTTCGGAAGGCCAGATTTCCCATGGCTGCTTAGAAGCCAGAAGGTTTGGGAAACCTGAAGCATCAGCTAATGCCAGGTTGTGTCTATGGAGGTTCTCAGTCCTCCAGGTCATGGTTGTCCCAAAGGGAGGCCCTTCAGACAGTCACTCACGCCCTTGTGACCTCAAGACTGGATTATTGTAATGCGCTCTACATGGGGCTGCCCTTGAAGAGTGTTCGAAGACTCCGATTAGTCCAGAACGCAGCCGCGCGAGCGATTGTGGGTGCACCAAGGTACACCCATGTCACACCTATCCTCCGCGAGCTGCACTGGCTACCTATTAGTCTCCGGATCCGCTTCAAGGTGCTGGTCGCTACCTATAAAGCCCTACATGGCATCGGACCTGGGTACCTCAGAGACCGCCTCCTGCCGATTACCTCCCATAGACCGATTAGATCGCACAGGTTGGGTCTCCTCCGGATTCCATCTGCCAGCCAATGTCGGCTGGCGACTCCCCGGGGGAGAGCCTTCTCTGTTGCAGCTCCGGCCCTCTGGAACGAGCTCCCTGTTGAGATCCGGACCCTTACTACCCTCCCGGCCTTCCGCAAAGCCACCAAGTCCTGGCTGTTCCAGCAGGCTGGGGGGTGGGGGTGAGAAACATCTACCTCCACGGAAATTGTGAATGTTGGTTTTGTTTTTAATATGTTGTCTTTGTCTCGTTTCCCCCCTTTCCCTTGTCTTTTGTGAGCCGCCCGGAGTCCTCCGGGAGTGGGCGGCATACAAGACAAACAAATAAATAAATAATGTGCTTTTTCAGGAGGCAACTGGACTTTCTGGTTTTTCCTTTGAAGATGTTTGGCTTTTCATCCAGGAAGCTTCTTCAGAACTTCTTCATCAAGGTCTACGGAGATTCTCAGTCCTCCAGGTCACATTGGTTGTGAAGGTGCTTCTTCAAGGGGCAACTGGATTTTTTTTTGAAGATGCTTCGCTTCTCATCCAGGAAGCTTCTTCAGCTCTGCTTCAGAGCTCAAGAGCTGAAGAAGTTTCTTGGACGAAAGCAAACACCTCCGAAGAGAAACCAGAAAATCCAGTTGCCTCTTGAAAAAGCACGTTTGGGACTAACACCAGGTTGAAGGCCACACAAGCAGATACGTGTGGTGTTTGTGTCCTCCAGCTCCCAGAACTCTTTTGGGTCTTTGGATGTGACAAATACAAGCAACCACATCATCACGAAACTAGCTACAGCACATTGATCCTTACTGGTTCCGCATCTCTTCCCTTCTTTTCTCTCTTCCCTCAGATCTTCCTGCACCTGAAAAATTACACCATTCCCAACGAGCAGCGTTACATCATCCGGATTCTCTTCATCGTCCCCATTTATGCCTTCGATTCCTGGCTTAGCCTCCTCCTCATTGGCAGCCATCAGTACTATGTTTACTTCGACTCGGTGCGGGACTGCTACGAAGGTGAGGCTGGGATCCGCGTCCGTCCCTGGACAACACCCCAGATAGGTGGGGCGTGGAGGCTGCTGCCACTCGGTCATAAAACTGGGCTGAAGGGTCCCAAGTTCAAAGGCGAAATTCCACGCAATCCTTCCAGAGCGTGGCCAGGAAGGGCAGCCTAATTTGTGGGGATTTAGACGTGCGTAGATTAAAGGCAGCCCTGTTTAAAATCTGGCGGAAATTGGTCACAATTTCTGCCATCGTGTTGAGTTCCGTGTATGTTTTGAGAGCCAGTTTGGTGTGGTTTGGAAACCAGGAGGCTGTGAGTTCTAGTTCCACCTAAGATATGGAAGCCAGCTGGGTGACTCTGGGCCAATCACTAGGACACAAGTGAGTTCTAGTCCTGCCTTAGACATGAAAGCCAGCTGGGTGACTTTGGGCCAGTCCCTCTCTCAGCTGAGACCATCTTAGAGTTGTTGCAGGAAAATGAGGGAGGAGGATTTTATATATATATATATTTTGCTGTCCTGAGTTACTTACCAAGTAACAAAGGTGGGATGAACATCTAATAAATAACATCTCTCTCCCTTTTTGGTGTGTGTGCGCAGCATTTGTGATTTACAGCTTTCTGAGCCTCTGCTTTGAATACCTTGGAGGAGAAAGTACCATCATGGCGGAAATCCGAGGGAAGCCCATTGTGTAAGTTGACCATCGCAAACATATCTCTAGCTCTTGAGAGCCGAGGTGGCGCAGTGGTTAAATGCAGCACTGCAGGCTACTTCAGCTGACTGCAGCTCTGCAGTTCGGCTGTTCAAATCTCACCGGCTCAGGGTTGACTCAGCCTTCCATCCTTCCGAGGTGGGTGAAATGAGGACC